GATCACGATCTTGTATGATTTGGGCGAAGGAGACGTCCTCGCCAGCCGGGTCGTAAGGAGCCATTGTACGGGATCGCACGACACCGTTCGGATCGAGGAACTTGGAAACACCAGCGGGCAGAAGGTATCGCGTAAAGGGCGCAGCGCGAGATGCGTTCAGCGAGTCATGAATCCAGCGAAGATGCAGACACGGAACATTGAGGGCGAGTGCTTGAATGTACTTGGTGCTGCGAGAGTGAGAATCAGAGATGAGAGCGACGAAGCCCAGGTCTCTGTATGCTTGCTTGAGCACCAGTGCAGCAGACCCCTCGATAGTAGAGGCCGATCTACGACGGCTCTGAGATGATGTTGGTGCCTCACTGGGCTGCTCACTCTCAAAAAGCTCGTGAAAACCTTGTTCTAGGACTTGTCCGCCGTTGCTCTTGATTTGCCTAGCAACAACCTCTTTGTCCACGTCTGCTGCAGTAGAAGTAAGAACAAAAGCCATGTTCGCAAACACGCCACTGCCGGATCGGGCGGTAGATGCCACAGACGCGGCACGTGTGGTAACGTCTTTCAGCAGTGATGGTACTCCTGTTCCTCGTCGGCTGAAAGAGGGTGTTGTGAATGGATCAGCAACAGGAGTGCCGAAATGAGAAGCTGGCTTGGCTGGCGTGATGGCTGCAGAGAAGTTGAAGGATCGATCGCGAAGTCGCTTCCAGAGTGAAGCGGTTAGGTAGATCTTACCCACAGGCACGGATATGTGCTCCGCTGGCTGCATTGCTTTAGCTTTGGGCAAGCTCTCCCGGGCGCGTTCTTCCAGAACAACTGTCGTATATCCGCGTTGGTCAGTAATGGGAAACTCTGCACCACTGAGGTCATCGATCCTGTCCTTGAAATCGATAACGACATAAACGTTCTTCTTCATACCGGGTTCATCAACCTTGACTTGATCACCCCTACGGAGACTCAGAGCACGGACATGCACTGCATCCATTGACGTAATGTTTTCATAGTCGAAGCGGATCTGCAACTGACGGGCAGTGGCCTGACCGATGCATGTGGCAGGATAGTAATGGCTGCCTGGCCAGGACGCGAAGACCCTGTTTGGCACAATGATTTCCCCTGGTGGGGTTGTGACACGTTGCGACGGAGTTTCTAGTGGCATCTCGGCGTTGGTCGAATGGGGTGCGGAGCTGATGGGCTCATCCGGCTCAACAGCAGCGTCGAGCATCTCGACATCGGCTGGTCTATCGACAACTACTTCCCGAGGCTTCGTAGGAGTGAGTGGAGTACTTTTACGCACCTCCAAAGAAGACTTTGGTTTTGCTGGTGAATTCGCCGGTGAAGACAGGCTCTGCAAGAGTTCTCTGGATACTGGTTTCAACGCGCCCTGCCTCTCCTTCTGGGCTCTACTGGCTTTTGGCAAGATCTTTGACTTTAAAGATGTCGTTCGTTTGTATGGGGCCTGTACCGCTTCTCTTTCCCGCGTAGCGGCCAATGCGCCCTGATCTTCCCGTGCCTGAATTGACGCAGTCGGCGGATTGTCCTCAGGCGCGTGCTGAACCTGCTCGAGACGGGGTGATTTGGGCGGCTCTGTAAGTGCGTCCTTGTCTGTGGTCGGCTTTGGTGGGCTGCGAAAAACACCACGCTTCGCTGTGTATGTAACCTTGCGCCTTTTTGTAGACGGAGGTGCTGGTGAAGTCGGAGCCATGAAGGCATCGCAATCGTCATCCTCAAGACCACTCAACCGTGGCATTTCGATATCTTCTTCTGGTACTGACTGCTGTGTCTCGGGTAGATTGTAAATGTCATCAATAGAATGGATACGATTATCTCCACGGATCACATCGCTTCCATTGTCTTTTGAGCTAACAGGTGCCGCCTTGTTCGGCTCAGACAGGCTATGTTCTTCCTGGGCGGTCTGAAAAGCCTCTGTACTGTTTGTCTCACGGAGTACAGCAGCGTCGTCCCCTGTGGCTTCAGCAGACATGTTATCTGTGAAGAACGTGGGTTGCGTCTCATCGAGTGCGTCAGTCTCTGGGACAGTGTTTTGACGTCGCATGCTCGGTGGCTTGGGTGGCTCCGTAGTCGGATTTTGCCGTGGTAGATCGCCATCGCGGATGCCATCCATAGATTGATCTTGTTCAAAGGTTTCCGGAACTTGCTGGTCGGTTCCCACATCCACTTTGCCGGGTTGGACGAGATCAAGCTCCTCATCAGACTTTTCACCTTGGAGTTCAATTGCAGCGTTGCCCTCGAGCTCCTCATTTGCAAGCGGTAGGTCTTCGTCCTCGTCCATTACGGTGTCTTCTTCAATGGTCGGTGTCGCAGTGTCCCGGTCAGCTGCTCCCTCTACGTACTCGTCGTAGGTGTGCTCATCGTATTCCAGATCGCCTTCTTCTGCTTCTGCGTCTTCGGGTCTCAGGAGTGGAGGGCTGCTGGGTACGCGCTCTTCCCCGTCGGGGATCTCGTTGTCATCCAGGCTAGACTTGGGTGGCATGGGGGGCATTGATGAAGAGATGACCTGACTCGTATATCCGGTCTTAGTGGCCATGGTAGTCTGGTTGATACTGTATTGATTCATCGATGGTGACGATGGAAATCGTAGCGATTTTGGTCGCGGTACACTATCGAAGTCTGCGGTTGCATCTGGTTGCGAGTCCATAACAGCAATTGATTCCTTGCTGCTAGGTGGCTGATTTGTGTCTCGTATAAATCGTTGTGTATTCTCGTTCCGTAGTTGCGACTCGTGCTGCAGCTGCGAGGAAGGAATTGCTTGCTGGGTAGAAGTTCGTGAAGTGCGGTGAGGGTGCGAGGAAGTCTTGGGAACCTGCACACTATTGTCGTTGCTATTACGTCTCACTCCAGTCCGTGCGGTATGGGCCGCATTCTGTGACGACCCGTCGGGCAATTGTTCGGTATTGTAGTCTTTCACCCCGTTCCCCACTATGGGTTGTGACTGCTCGTCCATTGTCTCGTCACCGTCATCCGAACATTCACCATGTTCGCCACCCCGTGAGTTCCTCGACTTGACGGGCGATGGTAAACCGACATCCGGTCCGCGCTTCCTTCCGGATCGCGATACTAATGGTGTTGGCACCGAGATGTGTGACAAGGAGCTGGCAGCCCGGCGATGGGCATGCTCCCTTGCCTTCTGCGCCTTCACTTTCCGAGACAGCTCTTGCCAGCTATCCTGGTCTATGGGCACGCTCTGCTCATCTCCTATAGAAGGCCTCCGCTTCTCCTGCGATTGCTTCATTGTAACGTATTCGGCTCGTGGTTCGCTGGATGATCGTACGATGGGATCAGATTTGGGTGTGTCGGGGCGCATGGCTTTGATGGGGCTGGAGTAGGCGGGAATTGGACTGGAGTGCCGCAAGTGGCTGAAGTTGGGCGAAGGGCGCGTGAAAACCACATCTTCTGCAACACCGCCCACAGCGGGCGAAGTAGGCGCCTGGGTGTTGTTGAAGGCCTGTGTTAGCGAGATATGCTGTAATCCGCCATCGCCTCCATTGTCGAAAGCAGGAAAGAACAGCGAGGGTGAATCAGCGGTGGCAGGCGTAGTGTTTGTCCGCACGGCCGAGCTGAGCGTCTGGCCAGAGTTCCCCCTGTGCCTGTCTGCCAATGCCGGTGTTTGGAACTTGAGAGGACTTGTAGGCGCCATGCTATTCTGCGCATAACCGTCGTCGTCGGCGTCGATTACGGTAGGGCTCGTAGGCGTTGGCATGTGCTGGTCTTGACTCGATGCAACTATGTCCATCTCATCTGTAGGCAGTTCGTCGCCATTATCGTCATCGGAATGGTCGACAAACAGCGATTTAGGAGGATTGGCCTCTTTGGCCTCGCTGGTATATATGCCGCTTGTCCATGTCTTCATCATCTGACTGTCCGGCTGGGTGTCGCCCGGCGCGTCCATCATGTTGAAGCTGTGGTACATCTTGAATACGCTGTCCCCGTGTCTTATATTGCCAGTGATTGTGGGCGCGCTGTGGTGGGTGAGCAAGGCGGCGGGCTTGACATGTTTTGTGGTCGCGGCGCGTCGTGGGGAAAGAGCGCGGTTGAACGGGGAAAGCACGACGGGCAGGTGCAGAGAGACGCAACCCGTGTGCTGGGCCGAGGGCAAGGCTAAAGGAGCGTGGTTGCCTGAGTGTGGGCTCTCAGTCGATGTGGTGAAGCGGAATGGCTTGTCGGTGCAGGCCCGCTGCTTGAGAGCCTGGGAGAGTTGAGATGGGTCCTGGTGTGGCGTCAGTCAACTTGAGCGATCGGCGGCCGGGGTCAACACGCTATCCAGACGCGACGCAGAAGACGAATACTCACATCGTAGAAAAGATCCCCAAGCACCGTGGGAGTTTGCGAGTCCTCCATGGCGAAAGCTCATCTCTGAGTGCACTTCCCAGCAAGGCGCAGATGCTCACTGTCTTTCGTGGTTACTGCAAATCAGCCGTGGCGGCTACGCGCCAATTAACGCGTGGTCCCGTGCCAGTCAGTGACATCTGGACCAAGCGTTGCGCTTCTCTCTTCGCCGCCTTGGGTTTGACAGGCGCATTGGTCCCCGCCTGTATTAGAATGCCATCTTCCATTGCTTACTGACACTGCGTGCCGTGCATTCCTTCTATTCGTCAAGGTCTGTCGGTTGTCCAGATGACATTCCCTCGACTTTCGACATGGTCGTATTCTCATGTCCTCAAATGGTTTGATAGACTGCTGCCGTTCGCGCGCTCGTCTGGAGAAGGGCAATGCCGGTTCTCCACACGCTCAGTAAATCACCGCCACCTGGCTCAGTGCCTGGTCACGAATATGCAAAGAAAGAAATTGTCATTCATTTGACATGTGCTCTGTAGATGTTGCTCGTACTCTTGGTCATCTTCCAAGAAATACACTTCTAATCCTGCGTATCTCTCCTCCTGCAGTCCTTCCGTCTCCTCCTCTACTGTCTCGCTACTCTCCTTCATCGCCACCACCCAGACCGCTTCGTTTCTCTCTTCACCGCCCTACTGACTCCATCTGAGTGCGATCGCTTATCCGAGGAAAGTGTAGTAAAGACCCATGACGACCGTCAATCCGACAGCGGTCCATCCGGTTCGGATGACTTGTTGGTTCTTGAATCCGATACCCACATCCCACGCCAAATGCCTCAGGCCGTTGAAGCTGTGGAAGAAGAACGGGAAAGCAAAGAAGGCCTTCACTCCCATCTTCACAGCCGCGGGCCATGCAGCAACGGCCGCCACCATTGACTGTGTCTCGAGATGCCATCCAGTGTAAGGAGCAATGAGGTAGGCGATACCGAAGAGGTAGAGGGAGCCGGAGAGGGTAATTCCCGTGATGCGGTTGAGCGACGAGGCGTACCAGGTGATTTGCGGCTTGTAGATAGCCAGGTGGGGGGAGACGGGGCGGTAGATGCGCTGCTTCGCGAGGATCTCGGCTGCTTCGGACTGCGAGGCGTGTTCCGTCGCTGCGAGTCTACGTTGTCCATTGTTAGCATACGCGGGCGCATGAGTATAGGCGGTACAGGTGGTGCGAGGAAGCTCGATGCTGCTATGACATACCTCCGCTGGACCATGCGTCCTGCCGGTTGAACCCTCAGACTAGGCGCGGCCGCCCGTCGCAGGCCAAGTTGGAATACCCGCTGCGAAGCCATTGTGCAGTTTCTCTGATGCCAATCGACAGAGCCGTCAGGTGTCGTGTGGTGGTTGTCGACCGTCGATGATGCGCAGTGCCGCCAGCCCAAATCTTCCCGATTCCCGAGGTCCCCCTACCGCCCAATCAGCAGCCCAGCATTACGCGGCTTAGTCACGCACTTGGCGGACACCCGATATTTTCTCGCGCGCGCCCTGCCAACTTCCTTTCCTTCACGAACCTCGATATCGCCGGCAAGGAGCGCTTGACGTGCTGAACTGCGGGAGTGACGGCCTATTTTGTCTGCTGGCGTTATGTCAGTGGATGGGGCTCAGGAGGGATCGGAGAGGGACTGCCTGTATTAATCGCTTGTGTTGACTAAGACTATGTCTGCACGAGTTTCATATCAAGGCTACATATTGTGTTTTTGCGTGAAATTTGTAACCTTTCGATACAGAGGCCTCGATGCATCGCCTGATGCGAAGCTTGCGAAATAATGACATGCGTAATTGCAGCATTGTAGCGTCGAGCTTCCCCACGCTGGCCGACCGATTTGCCCGTCATTTGAAGCGGACACGTGAAGGCGCTGACGGGTAGTTCCTGTCATCTCACTCGTCTTGTGCCTACGATTCCGTCTGAAAATGTAGGCAACAAGGCAACATGGGTGTTCGATAACGCTTGGGTCGAGGCATCGTTACCACGCGCGGTGATTGCAAATTTTCTTCTACTTCAACTTCGTTCCGCTGCCGTCGCAATAACGTGACCTCTTTCGCCCATCGTCACACCTGCAGCAATTACATCAACACACATTGACTGAAGAACCTCATGGCGCCTCTCCGCCAGATCTCTAGCGCCGACGCCGGGCTTCCGGCCGGCTCGTACATCTACAAAATCATCTCCACAGCGTCACGGCAAGATCCTCTTACCTACTCTTTGACCGATCAATTGGCCTGCATATCTTCGGACGACTCGTTGCGTTTTCATAGCGCCGACTTACAACCTGATGGTGTGATCGCAAACGCAAATGAAAACATTACCTGTCTGGAAAGAGCGAACGATGCACCCAGCAATGTTGTCGCAACAGCAGGAAGAGACGGATTGATCAGGTTCTGGGACAAGAGGAGCAAGCAGAAGGTTTTAGAAATACAAAGTCGTGAGTGACTAGATCCTTGCCTAGCTGGATGCGAGGGATGTGAGGCTAACGATCAGCACAGCACACAAGCTTGTCTCAGCACTGGTGTGCGACGCTGAAAAGAACTTCGTTGCTGCTGGTATCGAAAACCCAGAAGACGGACCGACCAGCTCACCGGTCTACATATGGTATATCGCCACAGCCCTCGTCTATTGGTAGCATCAGTATCACTAACCCATCCTTAGGGATCAGCGCAGCCCTGCAGCTCCTCTCCGATCCTACGTAGAGTCTCATACTGACACCGTGACAAACCTTGCTTTGCACCCATCGCACCCAACTCTACTCTTATCATCTAGCACGGACGGCCTAATCAACATCTTCGACACTTCTCAGGCAGATGAAGATGATGCCTTGTACCAAGTTGTGAATCATGGATCAGCCATTGCACATGCAGGCTTCATGTATCCTGGCACAGACATCTATTCAATTGGTACGGACGAGACAGTGAGTTTCTTTGCTCTACAGAGCCAGAAAGAGGAAGAGGAAGAACCGACTCCGAAGGTGTGGGGCGACGTTAGGGAAGGATTAGGATGTGAGTATGTCGTGGATCTGGCATGGGTCGGACAACAGGCCTGTGTTGCTGCAGGAAAGCATAGGTATGTCTTCCATCTGTGGTGTATACCAAAGCGATTATCAGTACTAAGTGGTCACAGCGAGAATCTTCTCAACCTCATACCGATCGATAAAGGTACCAACGAACCTCTGGATTACAGTTTCGATCTCGACAAGAGCATATCCTTCCCAGGCGCCCACGGCGAGGAGATTGTTCGCGATCTCTTCACTGATACTCATGTAGGCACAATCTCATTACAATATGACATGACGTTCTATAGCTGACATGCATGGCAGACAAACACAACATACACATGCGGCGAAGATGGGCACATTCGTGCTTGGAAACCTTCAGAAGAGAGCACCATGGACGTTGGTGAAGGAGCGGGATCAGCGAAGAAGAGACGCAAGGACAAGAAAGAGAAGGCAAGGTTCAAGCCATATTAAGATCCCGCGACTGTACTCTCGCGACTACCTCCGACCAATGTTGACATTGGAAAGAGCAAGTGCATGCGCGCTGTTGTAAGACTAGGTATGTGCCGATACAAATCTGCAGGCACCCACAATCAACACTACTGCACAGTGGTTCTGTATCGAACTAGAACTTCCTTCCGCTCAGAAGCATCGATTTTCTTGCAGTTTAATTAAACTGTGACGACACGTGTGCTAGCCGTGACCTACGAGCGACTCTCCCATGTAGGCCGACTCAAAAAAAAAAATGGCAAAAACCCAGAACTTTTGGAGTTCGTCGATATCATGAGGCGCAATGTACTGTCGACCTCGGGAGGTCACGACTCGCTTGTGGCTCGCCGGCCTCCACGGAAGCTAACGTTTCACCCCAGCCACCCAAACAGCATGACAGTTTCATCCCTCCTTACCCTCCCGCCATCATTCCAACGTCTCGCAAAGCGCCCAGAATGTCTAAGCGACCGTTCCTGTATGATCTGCGTATCGTGATATGCCTTCAAGGGCGCCTGAGCGCCAAGGTATCCATTCTCTTCACGCGCCCGTTTTCGCCATGCTCGAAGCAGGCATGTGGCCGTGTTTTCCAGGCCGACGCGACCGACTGTATTGTTTTGTGTTTGTCTCGTGTGTTTTCTACCGGTGGAACTTTTGCGTTGGATGGGGGAATTGGGGCAGATGCAGGATGCAGTACGGGTGTTGCGGCCAGGGAGAGCAATGCATCGTGAAGTCTTCGCTGGGCCGAGGCCAACATCTACGCCTGCGGAACTTCCTGAGGCATTGTGTATAAGAGGTGCCTGGTACCGCGCCGAACTGTACCCTCATCAGCATCTTCAACCACAGTCTTCTCTACTACTCTCTACTTCGCTCTCTATTCAATTCTATTCCTTCCGCTGGTCGGTTCTTCATTATCAATAATCAGTTAACCACAAACACTATTACCGATACCTTCCAAACCACCAAAAAACCGACTCAACCGCAAAAATGAAGTTCACCATCTCCGCCATTGTCCTCGCTCTCTCTGCCCTCGCCGCTGCCAGGCCTCAAGGCGCCAACGACAACCGTCCCGTTCCCGAAGGCGCGTGCTGTGTTGCAAACACCAGCTTGAAGCAGGATGTGTGCACTGTCAATGGACAGAGCGGCCGATGTGTCCCCGACAGCGTCAACAACTGTGAGTAACCCACATATCATGATCCATAAATGAGCGTTCGGAGCTAATCGCAACACATAGGCGGCGCCCAATTGACCTGCATCGAGGACAGCCGATTGAACTGCGACCCCAACACCCTTGAGAGGGGCCGCCCTCTCTGTCGCCGCATCCAGGGCGCGTAAACTATTGGCGATTGGGTTCGAGTTTGGAGGAACAGTAAATATGTTTATATTATAAAGATCAGTATGAATTGGATTGGACTTAGTAGTGGTAGGAGGAGCTGTGGTATCCAGGTCCGATAGTGATATAGGCTACATCGGCTGACAATGAAGATGCTGTTTCACCTTATTGGTTCTTTCTGGGTGTTTTCGTGACGATCTGCTGTAGTGTTTTTGGACTTTGAGGTTGTGAGAATTTCCGATGAGGCTCTTGACACTCTAGTCTAGTTCACTGGCGTTCTCTTCATGGTCTAGTAGAAACTCGCGACAGATCGATGTAGAACAATCTAGCTGCCAGACTGCCTTGTTTGTAGTTTTTTGAAACAGCGAACAGTATCACTATAAAGCTTCGGGGGTACGTGGATACATGCAAATGCGTTGCATTGTTGCTCAGTTTCAACCGATCTTCAATGCTACCTGGTCACTTGATACACATCTTTTGCTTCGCACACGTGCATTCTGTACAGGTTCCTACCGCTAAATAGAGGCTACGTATCCTTCCTGTTGCGCCTTAGTCCCGACTGTTCAGCCCGTCTATCCAAACGAGAATCAACTCCGCAAATAACAACGATAGCACATCAAGACTTCTGCGCCCACCAGACATGCCCGGTAACTGGATCGATGACCGCATATCGATACGCCTGGATGATGCTCTAGCAGCTGCAGATCGGCATTTGGCAGAAGATAATGAGCCTCAACGGCCTGAGACTGTGCGTGACGAGTTGAAGGAGCTGTTTGGAAGCACTGACCCGAGGAGACTTTCTTATCGGCCGCAACCCCACTCATCTACTTTCGCAGCACCTGAGATGTTGCCTGAACCAATTCCTGAAGAAGAGGATGTTAGCTTCCAGACTCTCATGAGCAACGCAAAACGCGTACTGCCTAACAGAGTTTGGGCAAAGCAGGAAAGACTTGGTAGAGAGCTGACACGCCAAGGCATAAGATTTCTCACATTGATAGATGCTGCGGCCTGTTTACCGAAGAAGCACTGGTCATGGACTGTAAAGGAGGCAGTTAGCACACTATACGCGATCAAGGATCGTTGCGGAGAAGTAATGGAGAGCCTATGGTACCAGAACCTTAGTGACACTGATGGGCTGCACGAGAAGGCCAGAATCCTCCATCTAACACATAACGCTAGAGCTTATGTGTTAGTAGTTCGACTTACCTTCTTTCTCTGCCGTCTGGAAGGCAAGCTCATGGCTGAGGTCGACGCTGATGTGGAACGCAATACTTCGGCTCTCGGCGTACCGCCCAATTTCAACATCTTCGATGAGTTAGAGCAGCTAGAACTACGCATCGAGACGAATCGTGACGAGTGTTTAGAAGCTTTCGAAGATGGCGCTCAAATGGAATGGCGCGGGGAACCGGTCCCGGTCGAAAAGGTATCAGCTCCTATAGAAGGCCTCACTGATGCCGACTGCGCCGTGTGTCAGGACGCGCTTATACCGCCAGGCGTAATCACAGCATGTCGACACAGCTATTGCCGCACTCATTTGGAGCAATGGATCCATGCTGCAAGGGAAAATAGCCATCTATGCTGCATCTGTCGTACGGAACTTTTCCCAAAGCCCAGCTATCGGATTAAAGATCCGGAAGATGGTTGCAACTACCAACATGAGATGGATTGGTGGGATAAGGCGCTGACGAACGTGTGCATCGTGAAGCATTGGGCATTATGGCTAGAGCAAGAGCGACAGCTTCAAATCACGTACGAAAGAGAGACGGTATGAGTGCACTCTGTCTTCGGAGCGACACTGGGAAGCCATAGGAAGGGCCTCTGCGCATGATCCGGCGTCGGAAGCCCAGGTTTTGTCTTCATGGTTTGACCGAAGATGATCTGAAGTAGAACAGACTTTTGATAGGAGCATCTGTCAAGGCCGAAATAGTTCATGTAGCAGAGTCGGTATGCTTGATGACATGGTTAATGAAGCTGAATAGTCGGGAATGGGTCTGTGCCTACGGTGTTGCGAGAAGGACCGAACATGATATGCCGTTCGTCGACTAGAAGTTTCCACGTCTCGGCGGTGCTTTCATTGAAACCCGAATGAGTGCAGAGTAGCGAATGCGCAGGAAGTTCCTACGGGTGTTGGTTTGGCAGCTGTACACCTGCATTCTTTAACGCGTCAGGCTCGCGTTCGTATGACGTCATCGACAGCGATAGCCCGCCGGTCACCCGGTATCCCTACGTAAGGTATCCCTAGGTGAAACGCCAACGGTGCTAGAACTTGGAGGGATCATGTGAAATGACAGCTAGGCAGGAGGCTCGTCTGTTAGAGCAAGGAGGAATGAGTGTTGATGAGATTGTTCTCTATACATTCATGGATGGGGTGCATTGCAGGGTTTCTGGTAGCGCCAGGGGCTAATCGATAAGCGTCACCTCGGGAACGCGACACTTATTTCTTTACCGTACCTGCTTCACACGAGGGCGGTCCCACATTCACATCTGGTTCAGCGTGCGCTCGTGCAGGACATTACTGACATAACGGCTTCATTCCCGCTCTCCACCCCAACATTGAATGCTCGAGCAAAGTTGTAAATCTCCTGCAAAGCGACGTCGAAAAGCACCCTTGCAACGATAAAGTCATGTTTTCGTCAACGTCTTCTTTGTTCAATAATGCGGATGTCGGCGGCCGCACGAAGAGAACAGAGACAGGATACCCAGTGACCGTGGACGGAATTGGAGCCGAGCCTATAGAGTAAGTTGCGTCTAGCACAGTATCATCACTTTAAGTCAACATAATTAACAGCGACCTAGCTTGAGCGAGGAGTTCTGCAATGTTAGTCTACCGAATGTACTTTTCTTTTTGCAGGTTGTTAACAGTGACAGGAGCTTTGCTCGGATGCACCGCTCGATTCTACAGGCCGTTTTCACGATCGTAACGCTGTCATCGAGAAGTTGCAGCGAATGAGACCAGACTTTGATTCCACGTCTACGAATTTGGCCGTGTTGAAGTATGTTCCTAAAATTGGTCTAGGTGGTGATCAGGCTAACACATGAGTAGTATCGAGAAGATAAATATTGAGAGACGCTCAAAGCCGTGCGCACAACCACCGACAGCCGAGCAAAACGATGAGCAGATTTCAGGCTTAGTTACTCCACCAGCGGATGGTAGCTCCAATGCCTCCTCATCAGGCTCATCGTCAAATGACTCGGAACATACCGAATCAGATTTCGTCTCTGCTCAAGGGGACGACGAAGCAACAGTTGCGCAAAGCCTTATCACTGAATCCAACATGGGGAGCGTTGTTAGCACACCAGTATCGAGTTCGAAGTCAAACTCTCAGAATGAGGCATCGCTGTCTATCGTCTCACCAGAAAGAGCACAGAAGGCAGCTTCGTCGCAGCTTCCACCGTTGACTCTTCCCCCAGGTGGGTTTGGGGCATCTGATAAGTTATTCGTATCCGGAAACTACGATTTCACATTCACTCAGCCTTTCGAGCCCTCGAAACCAAGCTCGACCACAACGAATCGTAAATCTTCTTTGAAAGAACATACAAATCCGGACGCCACCAGGTCAGAGTCATCAGCGCAGGATGCTGCACCGAAGCTGTCACCACCTCCCTACCCTTCAGCATCATCGTCACATGCTAGGCCTACAAACACACTCGCTGCATCTAGCGAATTGGTTCTCCCTAAACCTGCGCAAGATCAGCCCTCAGCAACTGTCACCGAAGAGAATAAGCCCCAGATTCGCCACGCTCCATTACAGAGCGTTCCGGGCCCGAACTCACGACCGATTGCAGCTTTACCGACCAGAAGAAAACCAGCAACACTCACAACATCTGGAAATACTGCATCGCAAGCGCCAGCGACGCAGTTGCCGGTCTCCTCATCCTCTATATCCCGCACATCAGCAAAGGCCCCCACGATACAAACACCAGCATCGCAAGTTTCGGCAACTGTACCAAAGCAATCGGGGCCTGCATCTTCATTGCCGTCACAAGCCCTCCCTAAGACAGCATCTTCAGTCCCAAATAATGGTACTGCAGGGAGTAATCGCCCAGTCTCAGCATCCGGCCAAGGAGTTCGCATGGCTCAGTCATCCCGCTCATTACCGCTACCCGCGAAAAGTGATCGACAGGATTTTGAATTGGATCTCAGTCTTATGGACAGTCTCGTTCCTAACAAGTTCCAATCCGATAACGCTGATGCGACTATTGAAGGTGTTATGAGAGATATCAAGCACGCGCCGTTGCTATCGGCCCCTGTGGTCGCTCAGCACGTGAAAGACTTGGTCCCGCAATTCGGCTTCATCGGTAATCACCGGGACGAAGCGGGACATGCCGTTAAGCTGTTCTACAACACCAATGTGCCTTTGTCCGCATTCATATGCGGTGTTCAAGGAAGTGGTAAGAGTCATACTACAGCTTGCTTGCTCGAAAATGCTTTGATTCCATCCAAGAACCTCGGCCGTTTGGAAGCGCCTGCTTCTGCATTAGTCTTCAGCTATGGAAGTTGGAGCACTGGCGGAGCAGGTTTCAGCGTCAGTGAAGCTGTGCATCTGGCTCGTGCGCAGCCCGAATATCCTGGCCAAAACGTACGAAGAATCACTGTGTTGGTTTCCGCACACAATGGAGCGATCAGAAGCTGTTACGAGGATCCCTCTCGTAACATCCGCGTGATTCCATTCAGACTCAACGCCCGGGCTCTCGACATCACCGGTTTGCGTGCACTGATGGGTATTGGAGATAAGAGCCCCCCACTCTACATGGGCCAGGTCGAAATGGTACTCATGAAAATGTCATCCGCGAGCAAAGATGGACGACTCGACTACAAGTTGTTCACCAAAGAAGTTAAGCGGATAGATCTAAACGATGCACAATCGCAAGCCTTGAAACAACGTTTAGCGATGCTTGAGTCCTTCCTCGATCTGGACGGCAAGGCGGCGGAGCCAGAGTTTCTTCCAGGCGAGATGATTATCATGGATCTGTCCGATGCTTTCATGTCATCGAGCACAGCCTGTGTTCTCTTCAAGCTGGGCTTGGACCGCTTTCTGGAATCTCCTGTCAAGAGTAAGATGGTAGTGTTGGACGAAGCGCACAAGGTATAGTATTTTGGTCCTCGTTCAACAAGCTCTTGCTAACACAATGCTAGTACATGTCCGATAGTCCAGGATCCAAATTTCTCGCAGACAGTCTCGACCACACGATCCGCTTCCAGCGGCACTTGGGTACCCGTATGATCATTTCTACTCAAGAACCGACCGCGTCCACAGATCTTATTGCGCTTTGCAACATGACCGTCATTCATCGCTTTACGAGCCCTACCTGGTATGCCGCACTCAAGAGACATGTCAGCGCCCTTGACAGCAACGACGACAAGGCTCTCATGCAGCGGATCGAGGGATTGGAAACCGGAGAAGCGCTTGTGTACTGTCCGAGCACTGTACTCGCGAAGAATGACGACGGAAGTTTAGAAAAGGCTACGGGCCAACTGCTTAAGATCAACATTCGGAAAAGGATAACGGAAGACGGTGGCGAGTCGATCATGGCCGTGTGATTAGTTGCGTATTTTCTATAGTTGTACTAGCGTAGTTCAGACATGGCTTCCTGCCGTTTTGAGCGTTTTGTGTAATTGTGGGCATGTTTCACAGAGATCACGGTCAGAATAGGGCGTGGAGGTTTTGAACGGCATGCTAGTTGTACCTCTATTGCCTTTTAATGGCGAGCCGTGCTACAAGTAACATTTTTACTCCCGGTGGGCGATTCAACGGCCCATGATCCACCGGTACTGTTACGTTTGGAATCGTGACTTGAGATCTCATCGTCTTGATGAACAGTAGTCTTAACCACGATACGCCCGGCATTCTTCGCAAGTTCCTCCTGGCTGCTATACGCATCAACCCAAAAGAGATCTCGATTATCACCTTGCGGTCGTATCGATGAGCTGACTATAATCTTCATTCTTATATTGTCGGACGCTTGTTTGACATAGCCTTGCGCGTTATAGGACGGCTTCGACGCGTTCGAGCGTTTGCGGACCAGTATCGCGAAGGCGGGTGAACATCCGATGATGACAGCTAGAGATATTGTTAGTACAGATTACATTTTCCAGGCCTCCAAACAGAGCATACCCATAGCACACTCTACAACAGTCCAAAGCAACAACCACTTAGGCTCAGGTGTAGTCGCTCTGCCACGACCGTCGACTCCGAGTTGTACAACACGAAGCGTGGCGAAAGCGATACATATGAAGCCGCTGCCAAACAGCACGAAGACGCCAATCTTCTGCTTACGTGGTAGTTGGAGATTCCAAGTCAGTCGGATTGGTAGAAACATTACTGTCGCCGATCAGTATCGCTTAGTGTAATGCTCGAGGCTCATTCAACATACTCGCGAAGTCGGTAGCGACGTCTACCGAGTATGCAAAATAAAGACTGAAAATGATTCTGTCGTTCTCGTTTGGGGTGCCAACGCATCTGCCTTGCGCATATTTGGTCTTCAGATTGTCGCACGTAAAAATGCTGCTGAAAACACTGCCAATCCATGACTTTCGGAAGTAAGCCTTTGCATCTTGGGCACGAGACCAATGTGAGAAGAATGACTTACGATCATACAAAACGAGACGATAGCCCACCATATCTTCTTGTATACACCAGGAAGACCGGTCAGCAATTTACGGTAGAGTGTCAACAAAGACATCTTAACCGAAAGAAGAAGTGTGTAGAAGCACATCTGGCCTGCTACAATGAATCTTATCATAGCCGCGGTATCTTCTATGATTGTCGCGTAGGGTTCGGCCAGGCCTCCCAGGACTGCGAACACCCGGAACATAGGCCAAACTGCCATCAGATAGCATGTCCACATTGAGACGAATAAAGCGAAAGCAAAGTAGATGAAGAAGTCCGAGAGGTCGAATGATCGACGTTTCAAAACTTGGAGTGTGATGCGAGAGAACACAATCGTTGATGTCAGGACGAGCATGGCGGCGTTTGCACGCACCAGCTCGTCCCTCGTGATAGGTGTCTTTGAGGGTGCGGACATTCGAGTTGATGAGAAATCAATAACCAAACGGATTTACAGGTCCTGGAAAGCATCGTTCGAGTCGAAATACAAATGTCGGGGGTTCTTGGAAGACTTGGAAGGCTCTGCGGCGTGGTTCCCAGGTCCCTGGGACAGCCAGCATGAGGTATCAATGGTACCTGATGATGTACGTTGACCCAAACTGACAAGTGGACTCCTTCCTCAAGGATGCTGAGTGTCACAGACAAACCCTGTCCATGTTTGGGCTTGCCGTCCCAAGCATCCTACGTCGTATGTAACCGAAAATACGATGCGATCTAGAACGCAGGATTCCAGGCTCATAAACAAAAGTTTCCTTAGGCTAACACCGGGAGGGTAGGCCGAATTAGGCTGGTAGAAGAGATTGCTGCGGCTTGTTGCATTGTCCCCGTGTGGGCCCTGAGAGCGACCGTATTGAGCGTATGTAATGAGGATTGTACCGCGTATCTGTGTAGGGCTTCCGACCGGTGGCGGCCTTTCATTTTGCGCTCAACGCATGAAGGAAGCGAGAAAAACTTCCCCAGAAAGGTAATATGTCCTGGCGGATGGGATGACACTTGCGATGGCGTGTCTGGGTACTCATTAACCAGATTGCTGGATCTCTATTGTGGATTCTATTGGCTACCTGGCGTCCAAAATCATATACTGCAGATGTAGAGTGCGGGCCCATCTGGGCATGAATCCATTGAAGCGGGAACCTAAGGAACTCAGGATCGTTGCGAGGAAAGAGAAGCAGCTAAGTGGTGCCGTTCATCAGTTGCTATTCCGGCAGCTGACCAGTTGATGCATCGTTGATAATGCCTTCAGATAGATGGTGACGCGATACAGGCATGGGATCGTGGTGCCGACAACGTCGTCCATCCTCGGACGGCAGGCTGCCGCCTCGCCGGCCAAGCGCCGCTTGGCGTTCAGGGTCCCGCATGTGCACCTACCTGCGCCAAATGCCGCACCCGTGCGCCAGCCGACCGACTGCCCGCGTGAGTCCGCCCGCATCATCCGCCATATCGCTACCAGATCTCGCCGAAGAGGTTGGTTCGTCGATTAGTGGACACCATTCTCTCTTGTCACGGTATGTAGTAGGATGGGTGCCAGCGCAATGACACAGGTAGATACGGCAGAAGCAGTCGGGTCTGCCGCCGCAATATAATCTATGCAAGCGAGCCGTAGGTACAGTAAGGGCTCCCTTCCCGCAGGAAGGTTTACTCCGCCGCGTCCCAAGCTCGAACTTTGCCACCGCCGCACGTGTGCTAAGCTTCGCATGTGACAACCCTAGTATTGAGCCATTCACAGCCAGCAACGCAGTCATGGAACCACAAGCGAGATGAACCGCGCATGCACCTGGGCACGACGTGCCAATTATGGTCCGCGGAAGATCTTCCAGTACAGAATGATAAATTGAACTAATACTACACCGCATTCTGGCATCTCGAGCACGCCCAGCATCGTTCATTCTTTACGCACAACGTCCAAGATGAAGACCTTTCTTTCGCTTAGCACCATCGTGGCAGCCGTTTCAGCCCAGAATGGAATCTTTGAACCCGCAGACTTCAACATAACGGAAGCCTTGATATCCAACGGCGTCAACGTCTCAGCTATTCCTGAGCTCTCTGGTCTGGTGGAAAGAACTGCATCAAGCGGTTGCTCTATTGCTGTATGTTTTGAACCGAACACTTCGCTCATAATCTAGAGTACTGACTGCTTCCCAGTGTTCCTCCCTGAAGCTGATCTATGGCGGCGACAAGCTCCTGTCTGAGGAGACGTCCGCGTATGACGCCTTTACTGGCAGTTATTGGAGCATTCAACAGGGAACCGTGAACCCGAGATGTGTCTTTAAGCCATCTAACACGATCGAAGTGTCTTCGCTAGTTCTTCTCTCTCGCCTAACGCAGTGCCCTTTCGCTGTAAAAGGTGGTGGCCATGCTGCTTTTGCCGGAGCGTCGAGTATTGACGGCGGTATCACCGTCTCGATGGAGCGTTTCAATCAAGTCGCAGTGTCGAATGACAAGAAGTATGCCAACGTTGGAGCCGGAACTCGCTGGGTCGATGTCTACAAGGGTGTCGAGAAATCTGGTGTCAGTGTTGTTGGAGGCAGAGTAGGTTCTTTACATTCACGTGTGGGATACAAAGGCTAAAATGGTTTTAGATGGCTCCAGTCGGTGTTCCGGGACTCGTTCTTGGTGGCGGGATCTCGTTCTTCTCGAACAAGCTGGGATGGGCATGCGACAACGTTGCTAGCTATGAGGTTGTGACTGCGTCTGGTCTCGTTGTCACCGCAAGCCCAACTCAGTTCGCTGATCTGTACTGGGCTCTTCGCGGTGGCGGTAACAACTTTGGTATAGTTACTAACTTCAAGCTCAACGCCTTTCCCCTTGGCAAGATGTGGGGTGGCCAGCGCATTTTCACAGAGAATAACTTCCCAGCCGTCCTCGATGCTATCTACAAATTCGCTACTGTCGGCTCTTCGAAGGATACCGACGCTGCCGAGATCGTATCATTTGGCAACTACCCAGGGATGGGCAAGATCGCGATCGTTCAGACTCATTACGCCCAGCCCATTGCCAATGCCTCTGTCTTTGATGATATCAACGCTCTTACGCCTGTCATGGACGACACGGGAATTGGCTACCTCAGCGACCTTACTATAAAGATGAATGGTGGATCACCGAACGACACACTCGGCTCCCTCCAAACCCAATGGGATGCCACATTCAAGGTCGATCGCGAGCTATTCAGCTTCCTCGTGAACACCTTCTACAGCCTCATCCCAGGCGTACAAGATCTTCAAGGCGCATTCCCAACAATCTCAATCCAGGCTATCACTGAAGGCCAATTGAAGGGTATGCAGAAGAACGGTGGCAACGCCCTTGGTCTTACGCCCGCTAAAGGCCCTATCTTTATCATGAACATGAGTGCATCATTCGCCAACGCAGCTGATGAAGCAACTATCTTGAAGTTCCTATCTACGATCATCAAGAAGGTCAAGGCAGAGGCAAAAGCCAAAGGCGTGGACAATGACTACATCTACATGAACTACGCCTCCCAATTCATGGATCCGATCGCTAGTTACGGAGCGGCGAATGTTGAGAGACTGGTCGGTGTGAGCAAAAAGTACGACCCCGCTCAAGTCTTCCAGAACTTGCATCCCGGCCATTTCAAATTGAGCAAGGGAGCCCCGAATCCGAACATGCCATAAGAGCTTTAGTGTTGCGAAGCTCCATCTCAAAAGTAACCCTCAAAATCTTAATACATCACTATACATCGTATTCGGCTCATTGCACTAGGTGACCTCCAACTTTGACACTTTTGTGATACCGTTGGATTGCTTTATCAGCGGTGGATGAAGAGATGAACACCTTCACATATCGGAGCGACGAGCTCTTGGTCAACATTTGCTAATTAACCGATCATGTATGTGAGAATATGCCGCCTGTATTTGGAAGATCCATTCGACAGGACATCGTCTCTGCGGATGCGATATGCAAGAAGTTTACGGCATGG